ATAATAATAATAATAAACGGTTTATTAATAGACTTGCAGCCGGTGGCTGAAAATATACAAACTTACATTTGAATTAGACATAATGATATGCATTCAATACATCTACAGGGCTGTACAGAACATAAATCAGGAGTTGTTTATTATTTTAACAATAGATGGGATGGTGCTATTCTTATATCTATCGATGCAGGCTCTCATGGGCTGAATTTTGTTGTAGTGGCGGACTGTGTGGTGGGTGGGGACTGCCGGTGGCAGGAGGTGGCGATGACGAGGATGGTGCAGTAGTCCACTGCCAAACCTTGCTAGTGCTTGGTGGTGGAGGTCACTGAGGATGGCATTTCAGGGTGGAGAAGGCGTTGATGTGGCAGGGTAGTCTGTGCCAAGCCTGATTCTGCAGGCCTTTTCTGTACCTTCTCTGGCGATGTTGTTGGGTGGAGTTGATAAAAATCTGACCAGGCTGATGACACACTCGTTAGTTTAGGAGAATAAAGGCATTGTAGATAGTCCTTAGCTCTGGCATGGGTGTCCCAAGTGACCTAAGTCGTCATAGCATGTAGAGTCAGTACGAGGCTGCCTCAGCACTCTGGAATGCCTTTGTCAGGGCTGGGACTCTTATGGACCTTTAGCCTAGACAGTTTATTTCTAAAACCCTCTTCTGTGAACACAATGTGGGTCAGTTCTGTGACGAACCTTCTGTCCTCAAATGCAGGAAGGTTAATCGCATCCTCATGTATCGTCAAGAAGAAATCAAGATCCAGTATAACCGGGTACATGAAGACGATCACCTTGGTGTGGTGTTCTGTGTCATCTTCATTATCACCGCCTTAAATCCTGTTGTCATCAAAAACTTTACCGCCTCATCCCCAACTACAGTCAGACTGGAATTATTACGACCTTCCTTAAGCAGGGGTTCAAATTTTTTACACTCTTACCAGTGTAGCAACCATAGGAACCACTCATAGAATGTCATGCTTAAATCACTTGGAAAGTTCAGCGTCTTCTTACCTGAACTGTTTCCACCACCCCGGTTGTTTGGCACATTGGTACTTTCATGATAATCCTTTCGACTAACCTGCTGTGTTTTATTCCCCCTTAAATTCTTTCTGCTTTCTTCTGTGTGTGCAGTCCTCTTCTTGCTATCATTCATGATCTCATCACTATCACTTCCTTCACTTTTCTTCGCCAACTCTCGCCTCCTTTTCTTTTCCTTTTTACTAATCACCTCTTGAAAACTGTCTGTTACCTCCATTGTTGTTGGCCACTGATCCTCTGCTAATGAAGTTCCGATTCATGCTGCTTGAAAGCCACAGGTCGTCTTCTATGCTGTTCAGTTGTGCAATCTTTTCTTCTCTAGCCAAAGACTTCTAAGTTCTGCCCACCATTTGCCCCAGGCATGGTGCAAAGCTTAGGCAGCCAGTGAAAATCAGCGGTGTTGTCATGAAGTGTAAGGCTGGCAAGTCCGACCACTACGTAATTCCGACTGTGTTTTGCGAACGTTCTGATTGGTTATCTTCCTGGCATTGTGACTGGCTACGAGACCATGACGTCCTAAACACGCTTTCTTTGTTAAATGTGATACATACATGTATACTGTATAGGATATCAGTAACAAGTTATTTCCTTTTTACTATTACAGGTTGACAATCCCTTATCCGAAATCCTTGGGGCCAGAGGCATTTCAGTTTTCGGACAGTTTTCAGATTTTTTTTTTTTTTTTTTTTTAAGCCTACCTGGGCATAGATCACTGACCCACATCAGGGCGGAGGCAAAATATTATAATTATAATAATACTGTAATAATAATTCATAGGTCTAGAGTGGCATTTCTCACTTTTGATCTTTTTTTTCATTCTTGTACAGGTATGTCTTTATTATTTTATTACAGTATTATTGTTATTATTATTATTATTATTATTATTATTATTATTATTATTCATTTTATTATTATATTTTTGTTATTACTATTATTATTATCATTATTATTTTATTTTGGTGTACAGTATTTTAATTAAAAATTGTATTTACTATGAATAATTATTATTATTATAATTATTAGTACTGTAGTGGATTTCTCCCCTAAATGCTGTTTGTCACTGAGTAGCCGACCCTTGAATTCCCCAGTGTTTTTTTTATAAGCCCACCGGGCATAGATCACTGACCCACTTCGGGGCCTGGGGGGGGGCAAAATATTATAATTATAATAATACTGTAATAATAATTCATAGGTCTAGGTCGCATTTCTCACTTTTGATCTTTTTTTTTTCATTCTTGTATTTCTTTATTATTATTTTATTACAGTATTATTATTATTATTATTATTATTATTATTATTATTATTATTATTATTAATTTTATTATTATATTTTTGTTATTACTATTATTATTATCATTATTACAGTCGGTCCTTCACATACGAGGGTTTAGCATTCACGGATTAAATCCTTGGATTGCCCACAGAGGAATATTCTGTACATTGAAGTAATTGAAGTACATTCCAAATTGAGCATTCAGCTGCAGCGGCGAGCAGCGGGACACCGCCCGCTCACCCAACCTCACACACATAGCTCTCCTCATTCAGTCAGTCTACGCTGTAACCACACTTGTGTTGACATCAGCATCGTAGTTGCCAAAAAATATTACATTTCCGTGGAATGTATTATATCAAGCACAGTATGAATAGAATATCACTAATATAAGAGTATTTTAACGAAAACTACTAAAAAAGCAGTAACATCTCTTGAACATCGGAAGGTTAAGAGTAAAGTCTCTTATTTATCGTCATGTATTTTATCCTAATTTACATTGAAATACATCACGTTTCAACAAAAAGTACTATTTATTTCTGAGAATATGAAATATTTTGCTGAAATGACCTCCACGTATTACAGTGGAAGTAGCCCAACAATATTTCGCTGCTACCGCTCAAAAAGATGTTACCCGTAATAAGCTTTTCGAATGGTTTTCAGTTAAAAAACTGTTGTATTACAATAATATTCTATCCTAATTCACTTTGTGATGCAACAGTTTTTTAGCTAAACTCGTCTTTTTGATATTCTTCTACAAACAGCGAAGTGTTTTAAAAGTCACTATTTTCAATCCCACATTCCACTGTAATAC